AGGGGGTGGGGGGGCCCCCAGGGGGGATCCCCGCAGCCACACGTTCGGCTGGGCTGCAGTGCACACATCCTTGCAAGGGAAGACCATGGGAAGCGGGAGGCTGCCGCAGTGCCTGTGCTTTAGCTCAGGCCAGAGGAATTACTTAGGGGTAAGGCGGTGCTTAAATGCTTTGCTCACCCGGGGCCTGAATGTGTACGGCCCAACACACTGCCCTCTTAGGAGCCAGGAGCTGTGTGGGGGCCAGCGGAGCACTGAAACCCCTCCGCCATGCGTCCAGCTCCGTGTCCCCACTGTCACGTGGGCTTGTGCTGCTGCCCCACCAACACTAATAGGAGCAGCATAAATGTGCCAGCTGGCAATGTCCCCACCATTTGGCTATGTATTTTTTTATGTTCCTTCCCATAGAGGAGTCCATTTGAGCAAATGACAGGAGCAAAGGGTTGGGAGGAGCAGGGCAGGCGGGAAGAAGACGTCAGATGTTGGGGAAATCACCAGCAAAGCTGCCTTTGAATGCTGCAGAGTGGTTCAGGGGGGAATAACCAAAACGTTGAAGCACTTGGAGAGGATCTTGTGCCTGCTGAGATAGCATCAAGGAAATCTTTCCTTTGACATATCGGCAATGCCTTCTGAGAAACGACTCTATTTCCAGCTCTTTATGGCATTTAACAGCAATGAACTGTGTCTTCTGTATTAATAAATTATGATGTCACTTTGTTTTATGGGTTAAGCAATATCCTCTTTGGTTATTTATATCACCAAACGTATGAAAGAAAACTAGAAACAAAGTGATTTCAGACGCTTTGTGCACACATAACTCTCATGCTACATCCATAGAGCAAGATTAAGATGTATTGTTCAAATAATGAAAAGGAAAAGAAACTAGAGGTGAAAAAACCTGGAAAAAAACCCTCTTCCCTAGTCATGTTGCTTACGGTAATGTGTTTTCATAGCTTCTCAGCAAGACATTTTGTCACCACCATCCACTTTTTTAAACATCCTTACAATAGCTTGCACTCACAGGTGTACCTTGTCTCTCGATCTCAGAGCCACATGCAATTCTATTTAACCACAGCTTTGAGAGGGATGGGAGTTCAAGGTTCATCACCAAGGTCAGATAGGGAAGCAGTGGCAAAGCTGAGAACCCAGGTTTTACTGATGCCCAGTTGAACATCTACCTTAATAATAAGTATTAGACTTAAATGAAGTTAAATTTTCTTTACCTTTCTGCCCATCCATTTCTCTAGTTCTATGGCACAGATCTTTACAGTGTTTTTTCCCCTGGAAAATCCCTGTTTTTCACACCTGGATTTGTGCTTGCAGCTAGATTTATGATCGATGTCTTCTAAAAGGGGCCAAAATCCAACTGCTTTATTCGTGCTGACAGTCATATTGGTTTCAGGGGGAGTAATTGCCTGAGGAGGATGAACAGGATTTAACCCAAAGTCAATAAAATGAACAAGCACTTACCCTACAGCCAATAACGGCCCTTGCTTATCTTCTGGCCCAAGAATCTCTCTTAAAACAGGTGCCTAAATATCTTGCTGCACAGCAAGTATCTCAAAACTGAGGCCATGCTCCATGGGCAGCAGGCTGACTATCTCCTACAGGGTATAGGTGGGAAACCCATTTTGGTCCCAGCCTCCTGAAGCCCCTTCGAAAATCCTGGTTGTATGGCTGGTGGCCAGAGTCTTTAAGGCAGAAGAAGTATAGGCCAGTTCAGGGGACATTTTCTGTACAGCAGCTGAAAGGTTTGGGTATGAAACTATAAAACGTGGTCAACGTAGATGAGAGTTCACCTTCTCACAGCTGTTGGGTCTGGAATAGTTACATCATTCAGAGTACTTGGGTTTTCCAAGGAAACCAAAGGCATTGGTTGCCATCTACCCTGAGGTAACGCTGAGACAGGGAGCCTCACCATCCCCACGGTGAGGGGCAGCAGGACCCAGTGCGGCAGGAGCAGCTTTCAGCCACCATCTGCCTTGCTGCTCCTGCTGTTTGCATGGTTATATGAGTAACATAGTGATGGGACGACAGCTCGCCTGCTTTTACCAGGACAACTTTGGGACTTCGACGGATGCTAAGCAGTTGCAAATAAAGACAGTCACTTGTAATTTTAAAAAAAATACATATTGCATACTTAAAATCATATATGCCATATCTAATCTCTGCAGCAATACACAGTTATATAATGGAAAAATTAGGGGTCAAAAACATTGAAAAAAATGGGGGCAGGGATGTCGTTGTTTTGAAATTATTAAGCAATGTGTACAAGAGGCAAAAAGGTTTTTTTACTGTGGCTAGCTTTCCCTGCAAAGTCAAACATGCTTGTCTTACATGCTGGGAAATTTAATGGGGACGGAGAAGAGGCAGATGCAGGATTGATCTTCCATAATTATTATCTGAACCAGATTGTATTTGCTGATTCCACTTGGCATTAACAATTGAGTGTAAAGCAGCTGTGAAAGAATTCACAGCACTGGCGAGCAATGAGAAATTAAAAGAATTACTTTTTGAGAAATTGAAAGATTAAACGAGGACACTGAAATAACACTAAATTTTCTCGAGTAATACATCTTCCGGATGTCACTTGGATTTTCTCGGCAACACAAGAATAATCATTACCCTTTTATGCCCAAAGGCCCTGATTTAGTATGTTCTTAAATTAAGCACATGCTCGAATACCCTTCCTGGATGAGGATGTTTTTTGATTTGAGCCCAGCTACCATCTCTCATGTGGCACGCAGTTGTAATTTCGTGTCCTTTACACAAAATGAGTCATGTTGCACAGCTTTTCCACCGCCAGATACTGTCCTCTGTAAAACATTGCCTGCTCTTGTTCCTCCCTTTGCCAAAAGGCAGCACAAACCGGGTGACGATGACAACAAGTCAAACAGCACACACAACGTCAGACATCTCATAGAAATGGCAAAGTCTGGGCCGCAGCTTTGCGATGACACAGTCTTTCCTATTTCTTCTCCTGCCCATGTTACATGGGACTCCAGAAACCTCGGATTTTTCTCCACTGCGATTTTTACACTGGAAATAAAGTGGCTTTGGTGTGGTTGAACCCACACAGACTCACACTCCCGCATAATCACATTTATACAGATATTTCTTCAAGGCATCAGCAGTCCGGCCAAGTGCCAATCACAGGGTTGCAGCACACAAATCCGAAGCAGCAGAATTAGCAAGGAACAAAGGCTTGGATGGGACTCACCATGTGTCCCCAAGGACTGCAGGGTGTTTGGCTCTTTGCCCCAAGAGCAGCTCCACAAAATGCTGCTGATCTAGGGACCCCCTCGGAGATGCCACCCCCAGCGTGACGGCTGGGGCCAGGAGGGAGCCAAATGTGCCACAGCCAGCCAAAGGCTCACCCACCCACCAAGGCAGCCTGGGCTATGGAGAAGCTGAGACCCTTGCCTAATCCTCGGCCCTTTTTCCCCTGCTTCCCCTCACCCCGTAGCAAGCCGTGGACTGCCGAGCAGGACCGAGCAGCGCTGACACACCATCGAGTAGCCAAAGTTCAGCACACCGGTGATCTGCTAAATAACAGAGGGTTCCCCACTAAAATAAATGACGAAAGATTCTCCCTGAAAGCAGAGGTTTGAAGTCAGCCGCTGTGATTTCTGAAGACTGATGCACATCGACAGCGGATAATAGTAATACCTAGCTCTTGAAAGTGTTATTACATAGAAGACAAGGCCAATTAGAAATGGGTCAGACACATGCTATTCAGGCTGGCTTCTGACACGGCCATTTTTAAAGTTCAGGTCATCTGGAGGTGAGGCTTGTTTTCAACATGCTCTTTTGAGGCCATTTCACATTGGTTTGTGTCTGTAGGCTTTGCTGTGAGCGCTGGGT